TGCAAACAAGTCTTTCGGTGTCAACACACCATGTTCAATGCACCTGAGATGGCCAAGGCAAGCATATAAAAACGCAGCGCTCGAACTAAGCCCTGGCAACAGACCGGCAGCTCATGTATCTGTGTATTGTCTGCCTTTTCAAAATATTATTTCAGCAGTTTTCAAACTGTGTCAAAGAATGACCTGTATGTATCAGGAACTGCAGCTATGCCATTATGACAACTTTTTCTGATTTTAGTCACTACAAGACACCCTTTGTAAAACGTGATGAACTTGCTCAAATTTCAGAGCTATATTTTGAGCAGACGTATTATAGAAGATTGCAATCTACAAAAAGCTATTAAGAAATTTTACACTTGAGTCCTTGATTAAAAGCAAATATTCATGCGCGCAGCGATGGTGACGTGATCTCCATTTTATATCGGGTGCCTTGGAAACAAATATTAAATATGTTGAGAAATACTGATGAATTTGCTGTGAAACATGTTTCAAGTTTGTTTCATTCAAAAGGCCTTCCAATTCTGTGTTTTTCATTTCACCATTACAAAGCGCAAAAACACCTGCAAAAACTTATTTTAATTCACGTAAAACCAAGATTTTTTCAAAACTGTTGACGGGCGTGCTATATCTCATTCGCGACACTGTTGCAAAATTTATTCCAACATCATGACGAACAGCTTATCTGCGGAACAACTTTTCTTTTCTACTGATTCCTACAGATATTTTCTGCACTGATAACTGGAGCCTCACTAGTGTGCATAACTCTTAACTGATAAAACTCAATACTGCACTCCAATATTTGCTTTACTAGATATTTATTGTGGTTCTCCGGTTTATTCCTACTGTGTTGAGGTTGTTGCTGCACCTTGCCTATTGTTGTACATTGTGGCTTATTTTTTGTGAGTTATGCTTGTCCTCAATGAACCATGCGAAAGAAGGGGTTTTGTGGAATAAATTGTTCAAAATATCATCTTCCTTTTAGTCCCAGCCAGAAAGTGGCAGGATTTTTTAGAACTGTTGTTCTTCTGAAAGTAGTATATTACGTTCATGTCCTGCGGACATAAAGTGATAGCTATCAACAGCTATGTCGTTTCTATTCTCACACCCATAGTTCAGGGTTGCAATTTCCTACAATGCAGCCTAATTTTGCTATGCATCAAACCAAAACCTAAACTTGAAAATAAAATGCCAAGCTGCAAATAGTCCTGCGGTTTTTTTATAGCATTCAGAAATTTTCTATTGTTGCTTCATGGCCTTCTCGATGGCACGGCTCTTTTCTGATTCAGGTTAAAAAAATTGGAAATCCTTAAGACGCACTTTTAGGAGATGAACACGATATTAATAACTTGTCCTTGGTGCGTAGTTCAACTACTTCATGTATAATTTTTATATAAAGTGTTACTCAAAAAGTTTGATTTGTGGATGACTATATTGCAATCAATAAATCTCAAAATTGCTTGTGTCAGTGAAGCTTTCACACCTGGCTGCATTTTAGTGTAACGTATAGCATGCTTTAAATCATGAGAAATTATGCACCCTAAATGTTTTCAAACTTGCTACACACACACCTAGTAGTTATCAAGGGATACCGGCAGTAACGTATGTGTCTTTTGTGACAGGTGGTCAGGTTTAAATCACAAAACTCTCTTGTAAATTGTGTGTTCTGAAGCTCTATGGCAGTGTACGTTTGTACCACGGTATTTCTGTATTGCATGTTGTATCCTGAATCCTGTATATTGAACACGATTGATTGTAAAGCCTGAAATATGTTTTCACTTTAATATCAAGTGGATTGAGTTATTTTTACTACGATTCAACGCATTCGTGCGGCTGTGTGGCCGAATAGCTGCCTGCCACACAAACAGCCTGGGTTCAATCCTCACTAAGCCTTCGAAATTTTATTTACTTTATTTGCACCTTTCTCGATGTTTGGGTTACTAACAATACAATGGTTTTTCGTTTACATCCATGACACAGAAGCCGACGCCGGAATTTCTGCGAAAGGATCTTTTTAACTTGATCTCGTTTGAAGAAGTCACAGCTTTGCCGCAAAGTTGAAGCAATGAGACAATGAACGCGATAGCCACAAATTGAAAGGTGACGTGCCAAATGGCAAGCAAATATAAACGTGCCCCGTGTTTTGCACGCACAAATGAAGCACGAAACGTACTCACAGGTACAGATGAACGCAAATAAGCGTCTCAGTTATTACTTCGCTGTGTCTGAGAAGCGCGCCTTTTTGCAAATGAAGATTGTGCAACGATTGCAGTGACCTTTCTGCACCTGTAACTACAACGTAAATGTTCTAGTGAAAGACCAACGCCAGCCAAGACATGCGGTCGTCCTCCCTCTCTCCCCCCAACCTGAGATAGGAGCCCGTGAGCATGCCTCCACCTTTCTCACTCTGAGGGGCAAAGTACGCGTGGGAGATAGAACGTGCGCCGCCACGCGCTCATTGCGCCATCTTGCTGTTAGTGCTGAAAAAGCGATAGTTTCCTTACCAGCAAGATTGCACAATGAACGTGCCGCCACGCGCTTATTGTGCCACCTTGCTGGTAATGCTGAAAACACGATAGTCCCCCCTCTCCCTTTAGACACCCATCACCAGCGGTAACTGAGAGAAATAAATAGCTTGCTGTTTGAGCATTCAAGGACGTTATCTTCGGTTGCTCAGTGGTTGAGGCCTCGCATTCACGACTCAGAGATTCCACGGTCGATTTCATGCGCTAGAGTGTTTCAGGATTTGTTTCTTTCTTGCGTTTTCATATATATAGATACGTAAACATATACGGTGAAAGTCGCCAACGTTGGAGGCAAAATCCATTAAAGAGTGTCCCTATAATCACAATAAAATAATATCCTTCAACCAATTTCAATGTATGAATGGCTTACTCCCAAATTATTTCGTGGCATCTTTCTACGCCCACCACGATTAGCATCACTCATATGTCTGGCACAACCAAACCGGTAGGGCACTTGAGTTGGATAAGTCAGCATTTATATTTCTGATAAGTATACCACATATCTCAATTAAGAAGCCAGGATTCACTTTGCAGTACAATATGATAATAACAGCCGAATGATTGTTTTTGTGCAGTACACAGAGCGAGCACGTGGACATTAATGCGCAACATTGCACAAGGACATCTGTTTTCAGCGTTCTTATCATATTATGCTTCAAAATAACCTCTCAGTGGCCCATTTTGGTAGGCAGTAAATATACAAGAAAATTTTATACCAATTTGCTTGATTTAAGTATCATACTGGTTCACCTATACCGAAATAATGATTAACGCTAATTTTGGTCTGCATGAATTTCATTTTTTATGACCAAGGTGCTGAACTAAAGCAGCGCTGCCGCATACATGACGTGAATGGACGACGAATGTATTAGCTTCGTCGTAAAAGGCATTACGTGAGGTTAATAGGTGATGGAGGTAAATGGCGCTCAAAAAGAATTATAATGACATGCGTGCTATGTAAAACCCCGCTACATACCATGCTCATGATGCGCTCACGGCTGTTTCGCTAACTTCACATATACCAATTTCGGTATTACATGACGCGAAAGATGACGACGGTAAATGACACGTCATAAATAATAATAATGAGATGCGTGTCATGAAAACACAACTACATGCTACTCTCATAGCACGCTCGTGGCTGTTTCGCTATCTACACATATACCAAATTTAATATTGCGTGACGTGAATGCACGACGAACACAAATGCCATGCGAAAGCTTGATAATCGTGACATGGAAGTAATGTACGACATATTTGCGTCTGTCTCGTAACTTTGGGCTGAATTCAAAGTGACCTACAAACTTCCTCAATTGTGCTTCGCGTATCACCGACTCTCTCTGTACGTGGGACCTGCCAATTTTTATCATTGAGATTATTCACGTGGGTTTGTGATACAGAGAGTTGATGCGAAGACGTTGACGGCAGACTGGTAGAAGCATATTATTGGTACTTGCCTGTATAGGTCGGCAGAAGTCAGAATATTTCATGAAATATACTTCGAGCTTGGACTCAGACTCACAAACATTTTTGTGAGCTTTACTCTTTCCCACTCACACTCGCGATTTTTTCCTTAACTGGACTCACTTGGACTCACACCAACCGAAAATCTACTGATCTGGACTCACCCAGAGTCAAACTCGCAGCTTGACCTGAGTCTGAGTGAGTGCGAGTGAGTCAACTCATGAGTCCGTTCGCCTAGACTTAGCTCCTTTGACCGTGGTAGCAGTGTTCTTTAACACCAATGTGTCGAGTATTCGGTGCTGTTGTAGCGTTTGACACTGTATCTTCGAAAACGTGTTCTGAGCGTTTGCAAACCTGTAAGGTAGTTTTTCCTAAAAGAAATGACAGCATAAGATATATTTATCAATAACTACCCTCGAAAGTTTATTAAGAGGAGGAGGGTCACTACAGCCCCCTACGTACTTCATGCCTCTCATCAATAAATAATGAAATGAAATATGAACGGCAAGGATTTCCAATACCTGTGAGTAGACGTGAGTATAAACCTGAGTCCGAATTCGGCTCACAGTAGTGCTGACGAGGATTAGATAGGTCCTTAGTTTGGCTTAAAAAACTGTAACTCACTCAGACTCATTAATACATATTGTGGATTTGGCTCGCTTGCACTCAGACTCCCGAAATTTTCCTGAGATAATTACCTCGTACTCACACACGAAAATTTTCTTCAACTGAAATCACTCGGAATAAGATTCACGGCAATATTACTCCTCCGAACTCCCACAGACTCAGACTCACGGCTCTATTTGAGTCTCACAGAGTCTGATTGAGTCAACTTATGAGTTCGCCGACCTATCGTCACGTGTGGTTTTGATGGTGGTGGTGTAATTGCGCCCACACAACTAGGAATAATTATCAGTGGAGCTTATTTCTGTTCCTTTTTTGAGTGTTTTTCTTTGAATGAAAACATTGAACGCAGTTATTTTGAATGAAGGCTTAGTGGCAGTCACTTTGCAGGGTGTCAGCGTCCACACGTGGTACATCTCGGCTGACTACCAACTATTCCTTGCTGCTCTTCTCGCTCATCAGCTGATTCGGTAAGGCTTTTGTGTTGGGCATATTTTCTCCGGAACAGACGTGAGGTGGTTTACAGATCCCAAGAAAAACACCTATGGAACTACAAGCGTGAAATATGTTCTAAAGCCATACATATTTAGTTAGTCGTTAACAGCAGTGGGCAAAGATGTTTTTAAATGTCTGAAGCAAAAGGCACTAAATCTTGTGCAATCGTTATTTTTGCACCGCTGCATTGACATACGCAGAACCTAAGCTCATATTCATAGTTTAAAACGTTACAAATAGAGTTTATTTGCTGGTAAGTGATAATGAACATGGATGTTCTTGTTCACAACAGTTATGAATAGATCGTTAAGCTATAGGCTTTCTACTAGAGATATCCTATGGCTCAAACAATTCACACATACGGTATTCAAAGTCAGCAATCATTTTTTAAATACCGTCCTTCAAATGAGTTCATTACCAGAGCCTTCCAACGGATTAATATTGACCAAAACAATGTTCACGAAGAAAATTTACACAACTGTGAAAACGAGGTCTCTCTCACTTCTTTTGAGGCCTAAAAACGTGAGTTCTCATTGTACAACCAGAAAATTCCTTAAAATATTGTGCCAACTTGATGTTGCTACAGATACTTTCTGCTAAAGTCACATTCAGATAAAGCCATTCGCATGCAGAAAGCACCCAGCCAAATGCAACATTGGGACTAACAAACTACCAGACAGTATGTTGGGATGGTGATAAGTTGTGAAACCATTAGTGTCCACTCAAGAATTACAAACCTCTGTGGCTGCGATTTACCTCCCATCGTGCTGAACTCTTGCTTTAGCTACTTCAGTGTATAATTCATGGTCATTACAGATAATTCATGATCATCAACAAAACCGTCGTAATGATGTTACATGACCGTAAATGCTAGTTTTTCCATGTTCCGCTCTTCATCTGCTTTCTGGCGTTGTTAATACTAATAACAAGACAGCTTTATTTTGACTAGCTATGATGGTTTCGGGACGTTAAACTTCACAAATCAATTATAATTTTATACTTACTAGGTATCAATGTGCGGTTAGCTTGGTAGATGTCCGCTGTGCTGACGCAGTAAAAATAGATTGATTTATGTGTGGGGTTTAAAGTCCCAAACCACTATGTGGTTATGAGAAAACACGTGAGGGCTCCGTAAGCTTTGACCACTTGCGATTATGTAAAGTGTGCCTAAATCTTAGCACACGGGCCTACAGCACTTTCGTCTTCATCGAAAATGCAGCAGGCGCAGCCGGGATTCAGTCCCACGACCTGCGGTTCAGCAGCCGAGTACCTTAGCCACTAGACCACTGCAGCGGGGCCGCAGTAGAAATAGATACTTTGTACATTACTATACGTGATTTATAACACACTGGCAGCAATTTCTATGAAATTGCGCTTCACTTTTGTGCTTCGATGGATGCCTAAAAAATTTGTATTTTTTTACCAGCTGGTCGAACTAGACATTTCTGTATTCATAACAGCTTTTCCTGTAACAGTATGCAGGTCACTGCAAAATAAAAGCACCAGTAAGCGTTCTTATTTTCGTAACAGTACGCTAGAGTGGAATATTTCTTGGAAAATATTCATTTCTCTGCATGCTGCTGCATCACTTGCTACAAAGTTGATTATTGACGTGTAGGGTTTAATGTCCCAAAACCATCATGAGATTATGAGAGACGCCAAAGTGAAGACCCCAGGAAATGTCGACCACCAGGAGTTCTCCAACGTGTACCCAAATCTAAGCAGTCGTGCCTACAGCGATTCCGCATCTATTGAAAATGCAGCCGCCACAGCAGCGATTCGGTCCTGCGACCTGCGGGTCATCAGTCGAGTACCTTATTCACTAGACCACTGCAGGGAGGCTGCTACAAAGTTGGCATATCTTGTGCTTGGTAAATGCTTTTAGCAATACGCCAACAATAACGATTCCTCTAGCTTGATGTAAAACGTGAGGGGATATATTTGCAGGCAATCTTCAGTCTAATACCATCTAATGAAGTTATATGGCTTAAGCTAGGCTTCTCCATCCTTCTTCACCACGTGCACAATCTTTACAGCAGTGTCATTTTGGTTCAACGAAAACGTCATGAGTACTTTTTTCTTATGACGTTTTTGTGGAACCGAACTTAATCTTGCATTCGTATTTATACGAATCACTTTCAGTGAAAAAATATGAAGGAAGCCCCTTTAAATGTGTTGTGCGAGAATTGCCATTTTTGGCTCATTTTCATATTAATTTAGTGCTGGCTTTTAAGCAAGGTTTTTAGAATAGTAAAATGCACTCTAGTTCAGTTTATTTTGTAGCAATATAAGGCTAAGCGCACATTCCTCTAACATTTATTTCACGTTTTCATTACGTTTGTCTCTCTCGGTTACATTGAATTTGAGTGAATACTTTAGTTCAATATGGATCCAGGGGAGCTGGTTTTATTTTAATATTGCACTTTGTTAATCATGTGAGCATTACTTTAGTCATGTATCCCATTTGCTATTAGTTTCACTTACTTAAACAAGGATCGTATCTTTTTTCTTGTGAAATACTGGCTGCATGTGTTCATTGGCTTTTAAATTATTTGCTTCAATGATGGCTTTTGGAATTTGTGTATTTTAACATAATTTTTGCTTTTTTGTTTGTTTTCGAACAGGACACGCGCTATCGTCACTACTCTGGCGGTGATGTGTATCGCATGTTGCTCCTTCACTGCGTGGCAGATGAGTGGTAGTAGGTATTCACCCGTAATCGTTCAGCTGACAGAGACGTATGAGTAAGTATTCATATAACCCTGTCTGGATAACGAGATACAAAAAGTTAGGTGCTATTTGTGCAACAGTGGCGTGGCATCATCTCACCAATACCTCGGACTTCTACACTAGGGGTATCGAAAGACTCTTGTTATGAGAAAGCCAGTGTGTGTGTGAGGGCGAGGCTCTCCGTTCTCTTTTTAAACTTCTTTATAGCAGTAATATTGCTACTTTTACCGACACTCGGTGTCAAGAAAAAGCGGTTCAGACTATTTCTTCTTCATGGCCTAAACATACGAATTCATTATGTACTATAAAACAACCAATGTGTGATCTGTCGCACACTCGAAAATGATCAACCTATGAGGGACGACGGAGTAAAGTGTGTCCGCACCGGCTCCACTTCGACTCTCTTGCGACAGTTGCCTAAAGTGCTGGTGGCATCAAACTTCTAGCCTACATTAGTGTCACTAGTTAAGATGGTGCCAGGTCATCATGGCCACAAGCAGAAGCCAAGCACCTTATTATCCGGAGCCTGGCGGTGCTTACACCCCATGCATGTCTTGAGCACGCCTATGTTTTTTACTTATAGTTGATAAATGCCCAGTGCGAATTCCATACAGCACATGGAAGGCAGGAACTGACAAGTGCACCCTGCCTAGTTGGCGCTTCTCAGGTAATCTCGTGTACCGAATAGCCCACCAACGAATTCCCCGTATATACATTTCTTATAGCATAACATACATCTGTAATAGTAGCCAAGGAGCTATCTGTTTTATTTTCTCAGTATGCAATACCAGCTTGAAAAAACGGTACGCAAATGACAACGATGGAGCTTTCTTTTCTCAAAGCCATTCTTGCGAAGATGTAACTGTAAGTCGCCCCACTATGAACAATGCTGATATGGCCTACCATGTAATCATGTCATCAAAATGATACTCTGCAGTGTACGTAGATGTGCTAGGGCTACTGAAGGTTTCGTGGCTGATTTTGTGAACTTCTTTGCAGCGACTATATCAAGATGTTCACCAACGTGTACATGCTTCCTACATACCATGCTGCCAGCTTTTTTGGGGGTTGCATCACATTCTACGTCGTGGCAAAGTTCAAGAACGAAAAAGTTTCGAAGGTAACTAGACACGCTTTGCGAATCCCTACAGCGTAAAGTGACCCCAATGTTTTTTGCAGGAACGAAGTGTACTCGGGACACACGGACAAAAAATAAACACAATTACACTGACAGTCGTGGTATATTCAACAAATTTATTGTTGCGAAACCATTGCTACTTACATCACCCACGTAATCATCCTGAATGAATGCGCAGAAGTTGCAGGCCTCTATCTAATGACATTTTCCAAATATTGCCCCTTTCAGGAAATGATTTTTTTTTCTCAGAGCAAATGCCGGCCCACTTATGCATGTTTTTTTTTACATCTTCTCACCATCTTGTGACTCGATACTCTCTCTAGTCAGCTGATTTCTACTTTTTATTTATTTTAATTATTTATTGTACCCTCAGGACCAGAGGCATTGAAGAGGGGAGTGGGTTTACAAAAAATGAATTCAGAAGGTGAGTAATGGGGAGTACAGGATTCAACGTTTACTGAATAATCAATTTTAGCTGATAACAAAGTTAGGACACAAAAGCAGAACAAAAGATATCTAGTGTACATATTTTAAATAATTTTATTATACAATTCTAGCAACAAAACACATCAGAACACGCAAGAACTTAAAAAACAAAAAAGGCACACGTCATAAGTAACCTTAGTTTACAATGTTTGTTAGTGCACCGCGAAACAGCTGATAATCAGTAATCGCAGCAGTCGCTCCAGGAAGCTGGTTCCAGTCTTTGCTGGTGCGTGGGACAAAAGATTCTGAACCCGTTCTTGTTTGGCATATCGGTATACCAACTTTGTGCGCATGATCGATGCGAGAGGACACGTAGGACGGTGAAAGAAAAAGATTAGCACGAAGGTGGGGACTTTTGAGGCGTGCTTCCGTAAGCGTTCTTTGAAGCAGCAGCTGGTTGGCCAACATAGCTGCGCCCACACAAGAACGGAAGGTTGTAACCAAGCCATTCGCAACAATCTACAGACTTATTTTTGCGGGTATTTTTGCACCCCACATTTATTGTGTGCACCTACAGCTGTCCTCTTGCTAGGTTTTTTTTTTCCTTGGCTGGAGTTCAAACGATAAAAGGCATGTTCGCTCTCTGAGCAGCTTTTATTTAATATTTTTTCAGATATTGCGATACAATATGTATGTACACCAAAACACTCATGTGAATCTTTCGCTCAGATGACTCGGTCACAGCTTGAAGAATGCTTATAACATCTAGCAAGATGCCCTTAGGCACAGAAACCAGCACGGGCTTGGAAGAGAAAGCACCAATCAGTCTCAATTACAGCAGATGAAAGCTCAAGGCAACCGAGTGGTGGCACAATTTCTTTGTGATGGCCGGTCTTGAAGGACACTACAAATAAATTTTAGGGGCTCATTTTTATTGTTAGACACAATATAATGAGAACCAACCGACAACAATGTCAGGGGAGGTGTAGAGAAGATATATTAAAAGTAATTGTATAGTAAATGTGAAGAAAGAGAAGTGGGCGAAAAAAATACTTGCCATTGGCAGGATCATGAAATATAAAGAGTAGTTGCGCTCCCAACCAATTTAGAATGCCACGAGTGGTACGAAAGCAGAACCTTTTTTGCCTATGGCTCGTAATGCCAACAAGAGCGATCATTCCTCATCGAGAAGCATAGATTAAACGAACGCATAGTTCCATAATGCTGAACCTTCTGCACCACATCCTGGCAATTCTATCTTGATTAATTGAGAACAATATGTGTACCTCTGTAACAAGCATATCACAGTGACCACCACGGAAAAACAGGAAATTATCAATAAATCTAACAGGTCTTACCACCTTTATTTCTCCTAATTTTGCTGATAGCTTCCTATATGATGGTGGTCCAAAAAAGTCACTGAAGCGGTGAGTAGTGCAAAAACCGATGCAAACACTTCGTTTTGATAGCTTCTGGGTACATTCCCACAAAATAAACGTGGATTTAATGTAGCAGTGAAAAAAGTTTTATGAAGTGCCTGCAAGATAGCCCGGTGATGTTCTGGAAGCACTTGACAGCGTACTTATCGATAGCGTTTTCAACACAGGGTAACAATTTGTTATGAGCGAGAAAGTTAAACGAATCCTTTGCGTCACTAGAAAACAACGGAAGCTGATCCCTCTTTTTAGTATTAGTTGAAACGCGAAATTGAAATGCGTCTTCAGAGGGGCAGTTGAGCATTTTCTTGCGTTATTTTGCCACCAGGGCAAAGGAATAAATACTACAGCAACAAAGTGAAAACTCACGGGAGAAAGAGCAAGCAGCTCGAAACTTCCAGTGCTCGCCTCAGGGAGAAAGCATTAACAAAAGGGGCACACACAGGACAAGTGCGGACTAACAGCTGCCTCAACACGACACCTAAAACGCGCTGTTGAACCAGAAAGTTTGAAGTTTGAAGTTTATTCATCATCTTAGTTTTAAACATACATCACTTATTCAGTGGTTGAATGGAAAGGGGTGGTGAAAAGGCAACTGAATGCCTGACAATGCACCGATCCCCGCCCAGACCACAATAATGCACAACACTCAGCATGTGTGTCTAGGATCAGACACACGAATCTAATGCACAAGTATACACAGGACAAGCCAAACGTCTGTCACATTGCTTACTCTTTATTATGTTAGCAGCGTATTCATTTTGTAAACGTAGCCGCGGCAGCTAGTGAAGTTACCAACGTGCTCTCCTGAACCACGAGTCTAACAAGCGCGTGCAAGAGAGACCACGCTCTGCGAAGGCAGCGCTCATCGAAACGCGAGAGGTGCCCCACCCAACGCTAGCCGACGCAAGCTCATCGCGCAACTTCTCTACGGATGAAAGACAACGCCTTGAACTTTCGTGGCTCTGAAGACCTCCAAATGACTTATGCTGTATATAAATGGCTTGCCGTTAGCGCTCTTGTCAGCAAATGTTGCGTGGTCTAGTGGCTAGAGCCGCGTGCTGTGGATTACAAGGTCGCTAACTCGATGCCTCACGACAGAGCTTCTCCTTCTCGCCTTTTTTTTAAATATATAAGTGTATATTTTTCAACTTTATATCAAGGAATGAAATGCGTCAGCGGAGTTGTGGAGAACCTCGGCGTCAAATGCTTTCGTGTTAAGAAATTTAGACACTTGCCATGCTATGTTTCACATATATATATATATATATATATATATATATATATATATATATATATATATATATATATATATATATATATATATATATATATATATATATATATATATATATATATTGCCGCGAAATCTTCCCTGCAATCAAACAACGCACCCATCACCACGCGCACAGAAACATACATGCGCGTCGTCTAGTGTTGCGTTGCGCAGAGACAATGATGGCACGAGCAGCAAGCTGAACCCGGATGATGTGTGCCACGCGCTTGGGACTTCTCTTGAAAAGGAAGAAGGAGGCAGCAGAAGGATGTCTTTGGTGTTCGACTTACACGTTCTACGACCATAGTCACTTTGAGTTGTGGGCACAGGTTCGCCCTTTCATAAATACGTTTTATTACACCCCCGAGTACTTCAACATCACTGCATTTCTGGTGGAGGTTCTGCGTCCTACAAACTCAAGACAGCGTAGCCCTGACCACCAGTGAGTTGATCCTGTAGGGCTGACAGCTGTGCTTCAAAGGACCAGTCGCCGTCTTTGAAGCGATTCACCATAATTCAGTCCACTCCACTTCACGCTGAGGGGAACTCAGTCAATGGACGCTACCACCATGACAAGCTAGGTAATACCGTCACACGTGGTGATTAATCAGCTTTACCAGCCACCAGTATTTCATGGCGACTCGAATGAAGACGTAAAAGATTGGCTGAACCTCTTTGAGAGAGTGGCAAGTTTAAACGGTCGGGACGAGAGAGTGAAGCTCCGTCGCGTATACTTTGCTTTGGAGGACCTAGCAAAGACGTGGTATGAGAACCATAAAACCTCCTTTACTACCTGGGATGAATTTCGGCGATAAGCTCTGGCTATCTATGCCAACACGAATCGCAGAGAAAAGGCGCAGGCTGCGCTTGGAACCAGAAACCAACTCGCCAACTAAAGTGTCGCAATGTACATCGAGGACATGATCAGCCTGTTCAAGCGTGCAGATTCTCTTATGACTGAAGATAAGACGCTGCGCCACCTCATGCGTCGGGTGAAGCAAGAGCCATTTGCCGTTTACACCCGCAACCCACCATGAACAGTTGCGGAGTTTCACACGGAAGCGACATTCATCTAGAAAACGCTAGAACAGCGGGCTTGACAGTACAATTGGGATAAAAACTACGCACCTGCCAATGTCTTGTCTGGAGGCCAGTGAAGTGACCTAGATACCCTGCGAGAACTCATCAGGTTGGTGATCAGGGAAGACCTCAGCAAGTTGCTAGCACCTAACACTACAACAACACTGTCTATCGTCGACGTAGTACGAGATGAACTGAGGCAGATAATACGCGAGCCGGAGCGTGAGCCACAGCCAATACAACGCATCCCCACGTACTCTTAAATACTCAGACAACCCGCGGCGCACCGCAATGCAGCAGTTGCGATGGCCGCACCTTACCCACAGATGGTACGCAGCACACCTCGTCCACTGGAACCGATGGCTACCTACCTGCCATGAGCCCGTAGTGTAGCTCGCTACGTGGATCAAACGCCCCGGAAAAGTGACAGCTGGCGTGACCATGATTTGTGTTTCTATTGCGTGGAAGCAGGTCACCAGTATAGGTTCTGCCCTAACCGACAGGCAAGATTAAGGGGCTTTCCGTTGTACGCACCATGCCTTTGAAACGGTGAACGGCCAGCGGTGATCGAAGAGTACCTGTCCACGCGCCAGAGCCCACTCACTCCACGCCAATATCAGCCAAGATCGTCATCGCCCAGGTGTTACCAATCATCCAGCCCACGTGCTTCTTCCGCACGGCCTGGGCACCGTTCTAAAAGCCCCACCCCGAAAACTGAAGCAAGCAACCTGTGGAGGTGAGGCCGCTGATAACTACACTTGCAA